ACCTAAAATAAGCTTCAGTGATAAAATTTAAAATATGTCCATATGTGTTTTGGCTCTAGATGTACACCTGTAATGTTTCTCAAAGGTATCTTTAGGAAGGCTGTATAAAGTCTGTCATGAATTAAAAGTTGCTGAGACTTTTATTTCAGTATGCTGATGTACTTTCAACTGAATATTGGAGTATTGAGTAGGGCGGGGCTTTTTTTTGTGCATCATCATTCCCTCATAGCAATCTGACAGTAAAATTGGCTTGGCTAAGGGTATTAGTATACGGCTGCTATGGAAGCCCTCAGGTTTCCACTGGATTAATTTTCACAAATTTATAATTTACCTTAAGAATAACAATGAGACCTAGCAAAATAAACATTGTCCATTTTCATACCACATGGACTTAAACTACCGCAATTTAATGTAAGGCCTATGCCTGGTTTAAGTTTTGTCTGTGAAAACAGTTTAAAATCAGCTTTCAGTAAACAATCAATCAGACTACTTAAATTTTTCCCTGCCATTAACGAGTAGATTGTCAAAAGGAATTGCTTTTTTGATACAGCGTAATGCAGTTGCAGTCAGTTTGGTATCAGTAAAGGAAAGCCGGCTGTGTGCTCGCAATCAGCGGAGACTGTGGAGCAAGACAAATAAATCAGGCTTAAAGAGAAAGGTAAAGTATAAAAAACAAGTACAATTAATGATGGCTGTAGGAAGCAAATGCCAAATCCTGGACATTTCAGTAGATTTCGAAATCCTGGCCGTACACATTTTTTAGCCAATAAAGAGGACATTTCCAGAAAAAAGATGACATATGGTTAGCCTATGATAATCACAACCAAACCAAACTGTATAGGTTCACACCACTGTTCATTGAGTTATTATGGCAATCCATGTTCTAAGAGTATTACTGTAAGGGAAGTAATAGCACATACATAGAGTTACAGGACTTCTGGGTCTCCCATGTGCGAAATACAAAAACAATCAGGGTATCAGATAGCATATGAAATAAAAAAGTGCAGATCAGATTGCATGGAAAAATGAATAGGTGTACAGCTGAAGAGGCAGTCGTTTGTTGACTCTAACTCTGATCACTCATGTTCGGGATCTTATTATTATTATTTTTTAAATAGGTTGAATTTTTATTAAACCTATCTGCATTCTAGTGGTGTTAAGAATATTAAGATAGGATACAATGCTTTGATAAAATGGCAAAAATGCCAATCTTTTTATTTTTCTATATAATACGCTCACATATTCATGGCAAAAAACATTCTGTGCGCTGTCAAAAATAGGCAAAAATAATCAAACATGCTTTTTTAAAAACGCCGTCAGGGAAAGAGTTAAATTTCAAGGAAGGATCTCATTGACTGCAGAATCAGCAGAAACCAACCAGCTCGTGCCAAGTAGTAAATTATGTGATTAATAGCATAAAGGAGCTATCATGACTTAACAAGATTTATAAACTGACTATGGTTGAATAATAAAGAAAGCAGCTTTAATTAAGTTTAACCTTAATAGACTCCAGTCTTCTCCAGGCTTCCTCCACATCTTCTCTCAGTCCGTGCTGCTTGGCCTGTGGGCCTGTGCTGGTCTCAGATCTGAAAGTGAGAATACATGTAAAAGTCAAACATTGCAAAACTTTTCACGACACAATTACATCTTTAAAAAAAAAAAAAAAGAAGCTTGCAAAGATATGAAGTTGTAATTCATGTTGAAGAAGTGTAACTCATATGTGGTCACACTAACATAAATGAGAAAGTCACCTGGTACGAGCATTATTCCAGTCTGTAGTAAGTTTAGCAAACTGCTTTTTGTTTTTCAAGATCTCTGGCAAGTCCTCCTGTGTAGATAACAGAAACAGGTCATGAATTATGACTGTTTTAGTTCACCTGGTTTGGTAGTAACAAAAAATAAATAACTACCTCACTAAGCTTATTCAGAGGCACAAGAACTTCTTTCTCCAGTTTCATTTCGAAGTCAGCCAAAGTCTGCGCCAGGGTATTTTGCATGAAGCAGCACATTTCCAAAACTTTCCTACGAAAAAAAAAAAAAAAGAGTTCAGGTGTTCTTAGAAACTGACTGTAAAATGTGTATTTCCAAAGCAACTGCAATCCTGACATCATGCTAAGCTGTACCTGGGGTATATCAACATTTCAAAAAGTATCATGACAGATGTTTTTGTTAGCCATTTTGGATACTGCGTCTATTACAATAGATATCGTAAAGGACGCAGTCTCTCAAGGTTTTTTCATTGTCTCTCAAGGATTTTTTTCTTCATTTTCATCACTTAGAGAAATTTGTTTCTTGCCACTGTCGCCACTGGCTTGCTTGGTTTGGGACTGCACATTGATGGATTTGCTCTTCAGAGTTTGGACTTTCAGCAGTGAAATTTAAACCACACTGAACTGAACTAAACTAAACTTCAACTCTGAATACTGGACTGACACTGTTTCAATCTACTTGAACTTCTTTGTTAAGCTGCTTTGACAATCTACATTGTAAAATTAAACATCGCATGTTAGATTTAAACATTTTTACTTTCCGTATTGCACTGAATTTGCACAAAATTTAAAGCCTGCTGTCCATGATATTGGACTTTTGCCATCTAATCAAACTGCAGCAAAGCTCTGCCTGTTGTATTTGAAAACTATTTATTTTAAATCTATTGCTGAAACTTAGAACATCATTCATAATAAGAGATTAAATCATTCAAACCTTCACCTTATAGAAGAATCACCATCGAAATCCTTAATGCTCTCAGCCATACTGACAGACAACATCATAAGGGGTAATTTTTTCTGTAAATAATGAAAAGTGTGAATGAGCAAACTAAGTGAGGAAACCAGGAAGTGTGCTGCATGTCACGTTTTTGACAGTTCTGCTTTTAAAATACAATATCATATAATAGTTTGCATGAGCAACACAACATAATTGTACAATTTCCTAACATAACGCAAGACACAAAGGATAAATGAAAGTTAGACTAAGCAAAAATCTAGGAAATAGACCAGATTTTCTACACTAAATCAGAAACTTCACACCACACACAGCAATGTACACAAGGCTGCAGATAATTACAGTTAAAGTGTTATTATTCAGTTAATTATAAGCATTGTGTTAAGTAAACAATAACAACTCAATATAGAGGAGTAGTTCTTCTTTCCAGAATTAATTCATCGGAGTGAATAATTCAATGACTCACTCATGAAGCAGCATCCAAATATAAAATATTGTGTGCAAAAAAACACAGTTGAAAAAAAATATGTAAAATTTCCGATAAAAAAAATGCAGCTGCGGTTGACAGTATTTTACTGTTAAAGGTACAGAGCAAAACTTAAAATAAACTCACAATTTTACCTTATACAAAAAACTTACTTCAATAATTAATAATGTTAATACACAAATCTTTTGAAGTACTAACATCTACACATCATATGCTTTGTTATTACACATAAACACAACTATAAAGTTATGAGAACGTCGTATAAAGAACCAACGCTCATTTTAAACAACTTTTCCTGCATATACTAAAAGCATACTAATAAATAGAAAGCTCAGTGGTTAGCACTGTCGCCTCACACAACTACACACAACTGTCGTCTCACACAATTAAGACACCATAAAGGTAACAGATATAAAGTTAAAGTAATAGAATAAACATTATTTCTTAACATTAGATGTAACGTACAACACTAATGAATATTCATACAACTGATGCAGAAAAAACTAAAAAGAACCATAGTAATGCGTACAAAACGCAAAAGCAAAGTGTTACACAGCCAAATTTGAAAAAATGATTTATGTTTATTGACCTTCATATATATATATATATATATATATATATATATATATATATATATATATATATATATATATACATATATATATATATATTTTTACTGTAGCATTTTATAGTTTGCCATTGAAATAACTGAAATTTTTTTTCAGTACACAACATAGAAGTGTCATACAAAGTCAAATAAAAGAAAATTAAATTGTACAAAATTGTGCGAATGAGATTGTACAAATTTATACAAATTAACCACTAAATCAAAAAGTTACGATTATAAATTGTGTTAGATAGTCTTTCATTCATTCATTCATTCAATCATTCATTACTTTTACTTTTATTCACCAAGGGTCACCACAGCGGAATGATTCACAATTGAAGGAACAAGAGAAATCCCCTGCAAACACAAAGAGAACATGCAAACTCCACACCCGGGACTACAACCAGTGACCTTCTTGCTGTGACACCACTGTGTTAACCACAAGCCACCACATTTACTTTTATTCATTTATTCATTTTCCTTCAGCTTAGTCTCGTATTTATCAGGGGTCACCACAACAGAATGAACCAACAATTTATGCAGCATATGTTTTACACAGCAGATGCCCTTTTAGCTGCAACCCAGTACTGGGAAACATCCATAAACTCTCTCATTTACACACATACACTATGAACAATTAAGTTTGTTCTATTCACCTTTACCTCATGTCTTTGGACTGAGGGGGAAACCGGAGAACTCACAGGAAACCTACGCAAACAAGGGGAGAACATCCAAACTACACACAGAAATGCCAACTTGCTCAGACGAGACTTGAACCAGCAATCTTCTAGCTGTGAGGTGACAGTGCAAACCACTGAGCCATTTGTATATTCCACACAAAATCTGTTTTTCAAAAAAACAGTAAATTAAGAATGTTCATGAAAAAAGAAAACAGTCTTGTATTTAGCACTTCATAGCTGCAACCACTTTGAAAACATATCCAAACTATTTCGTCCAGACATAACTATCCACACGCAGACAAAACAAAAACCTCAAAAGACAGACTCCCCATTAATGATGTAGATCCTTCACAAAATAGTCAGCCAAGACAGAATATTGGAAGAAATCCCTCCATCATGCTCTGTGATGGTGGTCCATGCTGATGATCTTCACAGCCACAACACTTCATCACTCGACCGTTACATTTGTCTCTTTGAGCATTACTCATTTCTCATACACAGCCGCTGCTTAATCTGCTTCAAAGGCTGGTCCAACACACTTACAAACCACATGATTAAATGTTGGGTCAGTTTACCATTCGTCTTTCCGAGTCCAGTCCCTGCTGACTCTGCAGGCAACCCACCAACTTCTTATGGATGATCTGGGCAGCTTTCTTGGCTGGCTCCACGCGCTGTTCAACCTTAGAGCAAGCAGATGGAGCATTCATTTACATTGACCTGTATTCATGTAATGTATCTCAGCAACAATGACTTAATGTTAGGTAAGGGTAGAAATGCCTTACCAAAACCAGATCCTCTGTGAGAAGGTCAGTTGCATCTTGTGACCTACAAAACAAAAAGAATTACACTCAAATAAATAAGTTCACTGCTTGTTCAATCTACTTTTTAATTTCAATTAATTTGAGTTAAACACAATTCTTAAGATTTTGGGGAAGAGAAGTTGATTGATTTATTCACTCGATTGTATAGGCATTATCAGTGCTATCAGCTGATAGATATGGGACAGTAGGGGCCTTCTGCGCCTACTGGTAGGCTTAGAAGGCTCTTATCATCCATTCACATGGTTAATAAGCTGGATCACATACATCTACTGCTGGAAGTTAACGATAATTATTTATATTATTTATAAAATTTCCCATTACTTGTATTAAAATACAAGTAATGGGAAATTTTATAAATAATATAAATAATTATCGTTAACTTCCAGCAGTAACATCTAACCCCAACCTTAAACCCAACCGTCACAGTAATGTAAAAACAGATCTGGATTTGGAGTCTTCTCTATGAGTATAGCTGATTAAACACAAGAATTATTGATATTGTTCATAAAATTTCCCATTAATTGTATTTTATTAACATCTATTCAATGTCTAGTATAGCTGATTAACCATGTAAATGGATAATAACAGTCCTTAGAGCATACAAGTAGGCGCAGAAGGCAAACAGCAACCCAAAAAAGAGGAAGCATTTGATCAGAAAAATCCATAATCATTATGATATTATCTAAACAAAAGTGTCAAATGCTATCAAAACAGTAGCATAATAAAATGTACAGGACTACAACAGATCTGTAGAACAGCAGAAATTAAAACACTGGAGGTAGGCACCATTAAGCTTTTATATTAGAAGCCATGAAGCATTCACTAAACATTTACATAAATCCTGTAGATCTTAAGTTGTCATTCATCATTCACTGATACACTAAATCATATTCATGAACATTATCGCAGTAAAAAATTAAAAAATGAATTAAGGAAATACATGAATATATTAACTAAACATATATTTTTTGTAGGCATTAATACAGCAGCATTTTTATCTCCCAGTGTTCAAACCCTGGCCATGGCAATGCTCAGGAAATACATTAATCATGTTTCTATCATTGCATGACTCATCTGCACCTTATTACTGAGGTTCACGAAAACTCTCATGGTATAGTAAAGTATTTATTGCATTCACAAGCACTTGTTTAAAAGACATGCCTACACAGTTAGTATGAAATTTCATGTCCATTCAATTGTTTCCAGGTAAATCAACATTTAATGAATCAGTAGAATGAATGATTCAATAATCTATCAGTGACTAATGTTGTCTTCCAATAAAAGAATCCCCTAAAATCCGACACAAACTGAAAGTGATATCATTGTTGTTACTAAAGTTGCTGAATCCTTGAGGGCTGAAAATATTTTGATATTTAAGAAATGACTCACTTGAGTACAAGTAGAAGAGCTGAGAAATATGACTCAAGTTAGAGTCAATTGTTTGGTGAAATTAGAGAAATGCCGATATTATTAAAATTATTATAATGAACATCTACAGTATTGATATACATTGAATAATTCTTTATTATTTAAACTTTTAGAGTGCTTTTTGAGGACATGTTCGCGTGTTAATCTGATCAACTACATGCTGAAATGCTGACTGAAAATTCTGTTAATATTTATACATATGTTACAATATGTATGGCTACAATACAGTATGTTAACACCAGTGGTGTGAAGTACTGTATTACATATATTCAAATTACTGTAATGGCATATATGCATAGAGACTTTTATTTTCAGCCAGCCAGCCCCAGAGCTTCTAGTGAATTTTCATCCCATACAAAACTGCAGTGTTTAAGATCTGATTTCTTTAAAAAAAAAACATCAAATCTTCACTCCCTGGCTGAGATACGATATAAAGTGGGTATAAGACCAAACAAGAAGCACTGCATTAAATTATATTTCCCCCCGCCATGTCTTTACAATATGGAAATTAATTTTACACCTCTATTTTCAATGGAGTTTCTGCGCTAGCCTGCTGCTAATAACGTTACGTTCATACGATTGTTCATTTTATTTTACACTTTGAACAACCAAATGGATGCTTATCTCTATTTACTGATTGTATTTTAACTACATTACAACATCAATGCTGTGAAAGGAACCTTGTGAAATTGAAAAGTCAAATAAAGTTTTCACCGGAGATTCGTCATTGGCTGAAAAACACTAGCTGTGCATTTCTCCCATTGAGTAGGTTTTCTCAGGAATTGTTTAATAAGTAAGTGCGTGTATTTGTAATGTGTTTTTTTATTTTCACTTGAATGCATTTTTAGTGCTGTATTGGTAATTTTCCTACATCTATTTTTCTTCAACCTGTAGTCATCTTTTTATTGAATCTTTTTTCTGTGAATCCAAAATTTAATATTTTAAAAGGTTTATACAAATTTTAATGTCTGCTTCATTCGTTCATTCATTTTCCTTTAGCTTAGTCCCTTTATTAATCTGGGGTCGCCACATCAGAATGTACCAGCAATTTATCCAGCATCTGTTTTACATAGTGGATGCCCTTTCAGCTACAACCTGGTACTGGGAATCATCCATACACCCTCATTCACACACATACACTCATTGGCCAATTTAGTTTATTCAATTCACCTGTAACACACGTCTTTGGACTGTGAGGGAAACCGGAGCACCTGGAGGAAACCCACGTAAACACGGGGAGAACATGCAAACTCCACATAGAAATGCCAGCTGACTCAGCTGGGACTCGAACCAGTGACCTTCTTGCTGTGAGGCGACAGTGCTAACCACTAAGCCACCGTGTCACCCATGTCTGCTTTATAATAAACCTTATTCTATTTTTCTGTTGGTTTTATGTTCATAGATATTCATTTTCAAAGTGCAAGCCCATTTTTGCAGCATTTATGTAAAAGATTAAAAATTACTTACAATTTCTGATTCACTAAACAAGAACACATTAAAAATGTAAACAACTTGCATGACCTTTAACATGTATAACCCATTAAATCTCTAAATCGGTGTTGTCTTTTTTATTTTGCCCTCTTCAATCACAATTTCTTTATCTATTATTTCTATCCTCAGACTAGATATTCTATTGATATTTCTTTGTTTTTAGTGTTGATTTCTGTTATTTTTCCTTTTGTTGTGATGTTTTTCTCTATGATGTGTACCAAATGTAACTATCTCTTATAAAATAAATGATGATAGATGATGGATGCCTACCGAATGACGACTGAAATTGTCAAATTAAACGATAACTTCTTAAACAATAACTAAATGCACAACAGGATGTTACGTTTTTACACAAACTAGATGTAAACGCATCAAACTTTCACAGTGTAATACTCAATACTCACTACTGCTAATCACTTTTACAAGGGCTACGTTATACTCATAGTTTGAGTAAAATTTACAAAAGATACTTTTAATTTACTTGCACTACATTTTTTTGGTAAGTAATAGTACTTTTACATGAGTATGATTTTTCCACAACACACAATAAGGCTCCAATAGTTAACATTAATTTAACTAAACTCACCATGAAACCTACAAATGATTATATTAAATTTAGGTGATATTCATTTGATGGTTAATTCTAAATAACATGCTAAAATCAGTCCTAATCTCATTACAAGTCATAAGTGTGTAGTAAATAACTAAGAAAATCCAGTTGTCGATTGTTTTTTACTAATGTTAACATAGTAACTCTAATAAATCTGTTTTTTTTCACGTTGCTGATTTTAACGAATTGACTTATGTCTACTAATGAGACTTTATTGTAAAGTGTTTTCATGTTGAAAATACAAATCAACCACTTTAAGATGCAGAAACATACAGCAAGACCACACTAAAATTAGAGCAGCTGATGCCGCTGTACAAAATAGGCCAGAGTGAGGGGAAGTGGACTGTATTGACTGAAGCCATTTTACTAGCTCTCCCTCATTTTTAACCACAACCTTGTGTTGCATGTATTATTGTGCATTAATACACAAACTGGATCTGCACTTCTGTTCGGAACAGTTGATAAAGACGAGGTGACGTGCACTTTTATGCAATGCTTTCTAAGCAGCCAAGACTCACACATACAAACACACATACACTGATGAGGAGATCAGGTTACATCACTATTGCAGCAGATTTTATATTCTGAATCAACATCTTATTAGTCAATAAAAAAAGATCTGAGGTTAGTAAAAAGAAAATAATATTGCTTAAAGCACTTCATTTTACTTTTACAATCTCCAGTAAAGTTCAAAAGTTTAAGGTTGTAAGTTTTTTGTGCTTTTGAAATGCATCAGTTGAGCAAAGGCTGTGTTAAATGAATTGTAATATGGTTTATAATCTAAAATCAATGTCATTTTTATGATGGTAAAGCTGATTTTTTTAAACAGTGCTCCAGTATTCAGTGTTATACTGGATAGTGATTCTAACATGCAGATTTATACTCAAGAAACATTGTTGAAATGTTGAAAACAGTTTATGATTTCAGAAATATTTGATAAATAAACTTTGTAACGTTATAAATGTCTTTACTTTCACTTTTTGTTATAAAAAACTCTACTCATCTGTTTATCTGCTAAGTATATGCTAAAACAGATCATATCTAAATATATAAAATATAAACATAATTTAAGATCCCCTGAAAAAGCCTTTTCAATACTATATAAAAAACATGATTGACAATTTGAACAGCACCAGAGTGTAAAAATAATAAATAAACAAGTTAACAATTACAAAACGAGCTGACCTAAAGCATTTACATGCTACTGTACATACAATACATCAATTAACAATACAGATTATTTAATTTTCCTGCAAGCACATACTGTTCATGTTTTTAACGTATTCAGCTACAAAGGTCACAAAAACAATTTCACCAGCGTGGTATTGTGTGTGCTTTGCGTCTGGGCTTTAGAAGTTTATTAATATCCTGTTAACGTCATACAAGGCGGCTTGCAAAACTAGCATCTTGTTCTGTGCAGCCTACAAAGTATGCTCTCCACCCTCACAAAAGAAATGACACATATAATAAGATAATAGATACCTAACACCTTATTTTGACTTCACAAAATAATAAATACAGCGAAATATACTGCTCAAAAAAATAAAGGGAACATTTTGAGTTACGTTGTGTTGTTAAAGTGTTCCCTTTATTTTTTGAGCAGTATATAATGTCAAAGAACATACACCAGAGGGTAAATGTGGCTGAACTTACTAAATTCTCATACTTCATTTTTACAGTCAACCTTAGGTTCCTCAGGCTTAAACAATTGAAAAAAGTCAAAAATAGCATAGTCAGAGTAATAAAAATTAGTAAAGATCTAATCACACTGTTATCAGATTCACATTTTCAGCACAACACACTATTTAAAAAATCACCTTCCTCATTTCAGTAACGTTAGTAGGAGTCAAGCTATTAATATTATATTTTTCTACAGAAAATAAGCAAGTCTACAGAATAAAAAGATCACATGTGATGACATTCCAGTAACACAAACAACGCCACAACCATGGTCTGAAATCAACAAATGAAAGTACTTACTTCCCCCCATTTCCAAACTGCTTTAAGATGTTAAACTGCTTCAGCATGATTGTGGAGAATCTGTGGCCTTCTTCGCCTCCTTGGTTAGTACAGACAGTTCAAGAGTATTTTAGTATCATTTGATGAAGGTTCTTGCTCTGTGGACTCATTAGACAGGCATCTCATTCAGACGTGTGTCAGCAGCAGCCTCCACTTGACTGTTTCACATTTGTACGCACACCTCTCGACTCGGAGAAAGAGGAAGTTACCAACAGCATAAGAGGAAAGACATTTTTATTTCATGCTGTGAAAGTCATGCAGACCTTTCTGGCCACAGAGAACGCCGAAGAACGGGAGATTTGCAAAGCACAGAGCTTTTATTTTCTGTATAACAACTTGGATAAAAATATAGAAATTATTTTATTTTATTAATAAATTTATATTTTACTATTATTTAAGCTGTATTTTTTTTATAGTAGCCATAAAATATGTAAAAAGAAAACACTATACAATATGTAAAAAACACAATATTTCTTTCGTAGTATTGTGAAAGTCCTCTCAGGCTAAATTTATATAATAAATAAAATTTATATAACTTCTATATATTCATATTTGACATCCCATTTATTGTGATGGTGCCTGAATTATCAGCAGCCATCTTCATTTATTCATTGTCTTTTCGGCTTAGTCCCTTTATTAAGCTGGGGTCGCCACAGTGGAATGAACCGCCAACTTATCCAGCATATGTTTTCTTCCAGCTGCAACCCATCATCAGGAAACCTCCATACATTCTCATTCCCACTCATACACTGGACAATTTAGCTTACCCTACTCACCTGTACCACATGTCTTTGGACTATGGAGGAAACCGGAGCACCTAGAAAAAACCCGCGCGAACACATGGAGAACATGCAAACTCCACACAGAAATGCCAACTGACCCAACTGAGGCTCAAACCAACGACCTTCTTGCTGTGAGGCGAAAGCGATACCCACTGCGCCACCGCGCGGTCTATCAGCCATCTTCAGTGTCATTTCATTTTGAAATGTTAATTCAGTATTAAGGTACTACTTGATAATAAATTAATAATAAAAATCGATGAACATCAAAATATCTATATCATTGTTCTACAAACAGTTTTTACTTGAAGATGTTATTTATATCATTTTTATATAGATATGATTTTTTTTTAAACCAAAAAGTGATACTGTCAATTTTGATTTGTTTTTTTATAAAGTCAAACCTGCTTTTATTCCAGCCAAACAAAAGGTCCTCTGAAGAAGAATAACGATTGTAGGAAATAATGTGAAAAAGGCCTTGCTAAACCTCAATTATAAAAACATATTTGAAAAAGAATTAAAAATCCAGGTTTTATAGCATATGGCTTAACTTTAGAGTCTAGTGTACTATAGGGTAAATATATAAATTGAATATTTAGGCTCCCTATATCTGATTGCTTGTCATAGTGTAAACTGTGAGTTTCAATGGCGTTAATACTAACAGCTATTTAATGCGCTGTTTGTGTGTGCAAACAGAAGGATGTGAAAAAGGTGAAAGGGGAAATCATTTTATATCCTATAAGGAGTGTCGTCACGCAGATCATTTCCTTGAGAATCATGAACTGAAACCAGCGGAATGTCCCATTCAAACGCTATGAGGAGGAGAGGGGGACCCTCTAAAATACAGAACACTACAGTATAGTTTACTACAACATAATTAAAATGCTCTCAGTTAGCAGACGACACTGCCATTTTTCTAAAAAATGAAATTGAAACTAAAAATGCTTTTGATTGCATCAATCTTTTTTCGTCTGTATCTGGTTTATGTTTAAATATTAAAAAGTGTGTGTTGTTCCCTCTGAAAATTTGCAATGACAGTGATATATATGGTGTTCCAGTAAAGGAGATGGTCGAATATTTGGGTATAAATATTTGTAAAGATCAAAAAGAGAGAAGTAATCAGAATTTTACACCAATTATTAAGAAAATTAAACAAAAATTAAACTTATGGTTAATAAGAGATTTGTCAATCAAAGGAAGATTTGTATTAATTGTGTATTTAAAAACAAATGGGTTAAGAATTACCTGAATTCTAAAGGCCAAATTTGGAGCATCATCCCTGAATTAATTTGACCAGGTGTGGAGTTTAGAACCTTTTTTAAGATGTAATTTTGATGTTAACAAGGTGCCAATAAAACCTTCCTCTTTTCATAAACAGGTATGCTTGGATACTTATTTATAAGCATAATTTTTCTCCACATAAATCAATAATAATGAACAACAAATGTATAACCTTTAAAATAAATCCTTATTTTATAGAAATTGGTACAAAAATGATATTGTATTGGTAAGAGAGTTATTCAAAATGGACAACTTTTTATTTATTGTGAATTTCTCAATTATTACAAGATCCCCATAACTGCTAAAGAATTTGTAATAGTATTTGATGCAATTCCTAGTGGAATTGTTCAGCTCTTATCTGGTAATTTATCCACTGAATCAAATCAATGGTGTGAAAATTATAGACAATACATTTAATAATTGGTACATTAAAAAGTTTTGCAGAACCACATTGCTGCCTTAATGCAAATCTTTTTGAAAATCCTTATTTGAGCAAATTGAGTGGAAAAAGGTTTGGAACTTACCTAGTAAATATTGTCTCACCAATAAAGTTAAAGAAGTGACATATAAACTCATACATTTAATTTATCCAGTGAAAGAAGTGGTTAAAAGTTGTTTAGAGGCATGTAATCTAGTATGTGCACTTTTTGTGAATTAGAGGAGGAATCAATTAAACATCTATTTTTTGAATGCACATATACCCAAATGTTTTGGTTTAATGTTAAATATCTTGTATTTAAACTTACAAAATTAAAAATTCAGTTTGCTTGTCAAGATATTATGTTCATTTATAACAATAATAACAATTGAAAACTGAATTATAACAATTGAAAAATTGTTTATTAATTTCATGATAATATATGGAAAGTACCATGTACACAAACAAAAATGATAATGGATAAGCCTAATATTCATGTTTAAAAAAACAATGCAATTTTGGAATGCTTTTCTTATACAGTTTTTTTTTTTTTTTTTGTAATTTTTATATCCCCTGTAATTTTTTACAGATTTTTTTTTTTTTTTTTTTTTTACAAAATATTGTTTACAACAACATCAGTATAAGTTAATATACAACAATAAGTGTGTAATATTTGCTTACTGGGTCAATGAATGGCTACACTGGTCATGTTTGCAACAAACTCAAACAGAATGAAGTTTTTGATTCAGACAAATATTAATACGGGTCTGTCACATATTTACCTTAAGGTGCTATTCTTTCGTTTTTTTTAAATAATAATATAATACATAAATCTTATAAACTAATTGCTGAGTAACAATACACACTGAAAAGGCAAAAGACTGTACCACAAGCGTCCTTACACATCCGCGTTGACAAGCAGTGGTGTCACGTGACACTGTGTTCGCGGTTTCAGATGTACGCAGCCTTCGCAGTGGCGCCCCCCCAAAACAATTTTTTGGGGCCACACCAAATCTTGAAGTGACACACACACACACACACACACACACACACACACACACACACACACACACACACACACACACACACGGTAATGTTTTATTTTTGTTTCTGGTAAGTGAAATAATGTGGTTTTAACAAATTTAATTAATTACTTCTGAAATATTGCAATTTATTCCTAAAAAAAAACAAATAAATTCAAATTCAATAAAATACAATATATAAAAAACTTTTCAGTTATTTTTCATATACTTTTTGTACAACATACAGTATATGCCAAGTCTAAAATTAATGAAGATTAATAAAAAAAAATGAAAAAAAGGCATTACTGTATACACACATACACTCACTATACAGACTCACACAATATCATTTATCCCTATTCCTATTTGAGCCACAATATTGTTGATACAGCTTCTTCGATTGATGGACCTTAAGGTAAATATTAAATTGCCACTGCTGTCAACGACGATCGGGGAGGGCAGTGAATCAGCTACGTCAGTGGCACCAATCAATCCACAATAATTTAGTGGCTGCATTTTATTTATTAAAATATTGTGATTTTATGCAAGTACATTTTAATTAATAATATCAACAGCTAGATCATATTGGGGTGGGCAGAGCTTACACAGGGGTGGCCATGGTAATACTAAAAAAAAATACATATGACCTCTGCATTAAATGTAGTTTTACTAAAACAAAGCTTCCCAAAAAAATAACATTCCTTAAAAATAAACTCAAAATTATTGACTCACAAAAGCGAAACAAATTTATTCATTTACCAATTTATTTATTTTTTATACAAGTTTCAAATAAGGAACTTTATTGATTGATCAATATCCCATGTAAATATTTCAGTACTGATGAATGCTTTACAAACGTTAAAACATTATGCAAATAGTTGTGTTTAAGAACTGGAAAAAAAAAGGTTGCACCATCAGCATCAATACAATATTGCTTTCCTTAAACAGTCAAGGCATGTCCGGTCCCAGAATTGGGCTAAAGCATAAAACACTTCTAAATAGTTTGAGGACACATCAGTGTCTGGTTGTGCCAAAACAATGGTCCCACTTGAAGAGAAGTATAAAACCCCTGAGTAAAGGGGCATTATAGAAGATGATACAGTGAATACTCTATCCTGAGGTGTTGCGGAGAAATTCAACCGCTTAGTCTGTCAGCTGTGCTGAAGCATTTCCTTTAATACTGTCCTGATGAAAGCGATACTTTGTTCCAAAATTAAATTGCATTATATTGTCTTTCAGTATTGAAAAGCTGCAGCATTAAGTCCATGCACGTCCTGATTTCAAGCAACACCCTACCAATACCCTTGAAATGACAACATCTGCTTTGTTTTGCACTTAAACAGAATGAGGCCACAAAGGTGGACGAAACTGAAGACAGTACCAGTATTGATGTCATTCTTTACAAAAAAACACTGAATGTCTGTTTAGTGTTTGACTGTTCTAGTCTACAACCTGCTTCATCTGTCCCCATCAGAACACAACAGCTGAAGTGAGCAACACCTGCAACCCCACACCTCAATCTTCCATAACCTCCCAATCTAATGAAATAGTGAAAACATCATAGAAGTGTAGACATTTAGAGTAAACTTCAGCAGCTTTAGAGTCTGAGCACAGTGAATGTGTCAAGGAAGGGAATAAGGTGTGTGAAGTTTGGTGGTACTGAAAATGACTACTCCAAACTCCAACACCATAC